TTTGAGGTTATTTTTAAGACTGAGTCTAGAGAATTTGAAATGTAAGGGTTTTAGGTTATTTTTAAGACTGAGTCTTTGCAAATCCATGCAAACGCTGTGTTTTTCATATGAGGATTTTCTATATTATGTTTTTTTTAAGCCTATAATGCCCTTTGTATCATATTTGATTCATACGGTTTCTGAAGTCTTTTGGATCTGAGACTTTTTGCATCATTCAGTGGTAAAAGCTTTGCTCAAACCCCTGTTGTACACATTCAGATATAACTGATAACAGCCAGTAGAAGACTACACCAAAATACATTTTTGACTAATTGCACGCTAATTTGATCAAAATAATTTCTTTTTTTTTGTTCTTAATATGTTGCTGAGAGGCCAATGAAAGACTTCAAACTAAAAAAATCCAACATTCTTCCTACTTTTCTTGGATCAGGCTTTAAAGGGTTAATCTAGTGGTTCAATCTTTACTTTTGCAATAATTCAAGTCTCCTACAGATTTCCTGTTAATTTAAGGCTTTAGAGGCTTTTACTCTTTTTTTTCAGCTTGGCAAAATCATGTGTGGACCCTTCCTGAAGTTCGTGGCCCACGCGGCCTCCTTTGTGATTTTCCTGAGTCTCCTGCTGCTGAACGCAGCCGACCGCTTCACAGGAACGGCCCTGCTGCCCAACATGACGGCCCACGACTTCCCGACCCAGCTTTTCCGGGTGAAGACCACCTCCTTCTCCTGGATGGAGATCCTCATCATCTCCTGGGTCATAGGTCAGGACAGGAACCCTTCTCTCTGCGTCAACCTGTTAGGAAGGTTTCTCTGTGTTAGGTTCTTGCTTTTAGAATGACATTACACCAGTGTTTTTAAAACTTTTTTGACCCAAGGTACATTTTCTTCATTGAAATAATCACGAGGCACACCACCAAACCAAAAATGTCAAACAAATCTTATCTTATTCTTAAGTGTCTTGAATAGGAATCAAATAAACACAAAAATGTATTTTTATCATATTTTATATTTCTTCTTTCAAATTGCTCTTAACATGTCCACTTCAATATGCAAAATTATTTACAAAATCTAGTCATAAGGAATTATTACATGATTACTCCACCAGTCACTAGAACAGCACAGACACTCAGAAATTATTTGCAGATAATTAATTCCTTATCAAAAAATCTTTTTAGACCAATTAGGTGAAATAGGATGATTTTCTACGGCACACCTGACCATCACTAACAGCACACTAGTGGTTGAAAAACACTGCATTACACTACTCTGAATTCATGTTTTTGGAGTCAGGCCTACTCTATGAAAGGTCATTTCTCTTTTGGATCATTTACTGTGTGTCACACATGACCCACATGCACCATTAGAAATCAGAGTGGATGTGTTTTCCTGTTAAAAAATGCAAAGACAAAACTTTTACTTGTCTGAACGTGTGTCTCTCTGTTTTAACTGATATTGTATTATGTGATTTTGTGTTGTTTTGTCTTCCTGCCTCAGGACAACAGACGCGAATTAGCAACTATGCTATAATCTGGCTCATTTACAATCTGTATGAGATTGTTCATTAATGTGCACTGTCCTGATTAAACAAATAAATAAATTAATAAATTAATAAAATAGCCATATCCCATTTTTCCCTCCATTATTGCTGAAATCTATATTACTCTAACATAAATGTAATTTTTTTTTCAATTTTTTTGGTACATTAACTATTCAATTAAAGGGAAACCTTTGTGACTGTCAATCAAATAACAAAGCTATCTTTTTTTTTCTTTCTTTATTCTCCAAACAGGGAAAATCTGGGAAGAATGTA